TGACAAGGGTAGACTGAGCACGAGCTCGAGAAGCTCGTTACCAATAAACTCGCTATCAGGCAGCTCACCTACCATTCGAGCCTCTGCTTGGCAACCTCGAGGAACACACCTTCGTACTTTGTATCCCATCAGGACTGTACTTGTAACGGTAACATTAGCTCACCAACTCCCTATTCTGACGGGAAGCGACAGTGTTACCATTCGGTGGCATTTCATCCACCTAACGCGCCGCATCAGGTCCCATTACTGCAGGGATCCAGTGACCGTTCCACCTACCCACCTGGGCTATAGTATATAGAGACACCGCCCCCCAGGGGCGAGGGTACGTTCTATTATCTATTGATTTGTGTGTAATCTTTGCTCTCTAGCTCTCTCACGGTTATCATCTTCAAGCTCTCTACTATCAYAGTGTTCTAACTTARCCATCGGAGTATCCTCGCCGGGTGAGCCACCCCGGGATCTCTAACTCTTCTCTTTTAGGAACCTAGTCCTCGTCGTTGCTAGCCGCCACATCAGCATCCGACAGGGAGATGCTGGATTACGCCACATCATAAGGTATTTGAAACTTTTCTTAGTTTAGGAGTGAGCATGGGTCAATTCGATTTGGTTCGAAAGTAGAATCTGAAACCTACCCTGTAAGCGTCAGCTCCAAGTTTTTGGAACTAAAGCTTTTCCTATCAAGATTTGTTTTAGCTTTGGTGCTCTTAGAGTTGGTTCCAAGGTCTACCCAAGGAACCAAAAGAGTGGAACCTGTTCTTAATTCATTCCATAACATTAAGAGTCAAATTAGATAGCTATTGATGAGGGCAGATTTGGCCCTCCAATGACATTGTGACACCTGGCACCTCATGACAACTAAGTGCAGCCTCTTGACAACTAGGCAGCTCGCCACAGGCAGCTTGCCACAGGCTTCTCGCCACTCGGCAGCTTGCCACTCAGCAGCTCACCATAGGCAACTCACCCTCATGTAGCCTGGAACCTCAGAACAACTAGGTGACACTCGGGACCACTTTGGCAACAACTTGCCTTTGCTAAGTTGATAGTGTCCCACTGGGCATGGCCTGGCACAGGCGCGGCCTGACACGGGCGCGGCCTGGCACAGGCGCGTTCTGGCGCAAGCGTGACCTGGTGGCCTGACCCTGGCGCGACCTGGCCTTGGCACGAGCTGGCAGCCTGGCCCTGACGCGAGCTGGCAGCCTAGCACAAGCGCAACCTGGTGGCCTAGCCATGGCGCGACCTGGCCTTGGCACGAGCTGGCAGCCTGGCCCTGGCACAAGCTGGTGACTTGGCACAGGCGCGACCTGGCGGCCTGGCCCACGCTCCAATCTAACAACCCCAAGGAGGTCACCACCTTACCCCGCATTTTACGGGATTGTGACCTGTAACGGCTATATTAGCTCACCCACTCCCCGACTTAGGCGAAAATGGGCAACCTTACCAGTTGGTGGCTTTATCCCCACCTAACACGAAGGCAGGTCCCATCACAGCGGGAATCCAGGAACTGCTCCACCAAACCTGCGAGGACTCCAGTATATAAAGACCTCACCCCTCAGGGGCAAAGGTATGCTAAAAGAGGGGTAATCCCTGCTCTCTAGCTCTCTCATTCTCTTATATCATTTTCAGCTCGCTACTAAGTGCTGACTTAGCCATCGGAGTGACCTCGCCGGGTTTGATTTAGTTTTCGCAGGTTCCTTAGCTCCCGCCGCCTACAAAGATGAGCAGATCATCGCCAGCAAGGAGTAGCCAGTTTAGCTCCCGTTGTTGCTGGTAGCTAGATCATCTCCTGCAGGGAGAAGCTGGGTTGCGCTACGCTAGGGAGCTCCACTTCAGTCCCCGAGTCACAGGCCACTTGGGAGCAGACAAGCTGACGAGGTACTTAGCCAAAAAATTGATACGTGACCAGAAAATGTGACATAAATTGGTGTCGTCTGTGGGAACACGCTACAAAAACTAAGTTCTCATCCTACAAAAAGCTAAGTCCTCTTCTCCTAGAAAGCTAAGTCCTCACCTTTTTAGAAACTGAAGCTCTCGCTTCATAGCTCTAAGGCGCCCACTTGGCGGCCAGGCACGGCCTGCGCACGGCCTGGCAGCCTGGCACATGCACCGACCTGACGCGACTCGGCATGGGCGCCAACCTGGCGGCCTGGCCCAGGTGCGAACTGACGAACTGATAAAATACTTCCTCATACTGCTCAAGACCCAGTTGCGAACTGACGACTCGGCATGGGCGCCAACCTTCTTTTGCCTCTTCGGCATGAGCAAAGTTCTAGAGTGGACTATGAGTCGCTCCTAAAGCCTAAGGGCCACAATACTGCTCAAGACCCAGTTGCCTCTTCGGCATGGGCAAAGTTCAGGAGTGGACTATGAGTCACTCCCAAAGCCTAAGGGCCACAATACTACTCAAGACCCAGTTGCCTCTTCGGCATGGGCAAAGTTCAGGAGTGGGCTATGAGTCGCTCCCAAAGCCTAAGGGCCACAATACTGCTTAAGACCCAATTGCCTCTTCGGCATGGGCAAAGTTCAGGAGTGGACTATGAGTCGCTCCCAAAGCCTAAGGGCCACGATACTGCATAAGACTAGTCGCTTCTTCGGCTTGGGCAAAGTTCCGGAGTGGACCACAAGTCGCTCCCAGAGCCTAAGGGCTACAGTACCGAACTAGAAGAGACCTCAGCACCTTACAGGCAGCTCGCTTCCAAGTAGCTCCTAGAGCCTAAGAGACTGAATCAGCGCTTACGAGCTCGTCGAATTACGGGCCAAAAGAAGAAATCCACTCCCTTCGTCGAGTTACTTTCAGCTCGGGGGTGGGGGGCAAATGATGAGGGCGGATTTGGCCCTCCAATGACATTGTGACACCTGGCACCTCATGACAACTAAGTGCAGCCTCTTGACAACTAGGCAGCTCACCACCAGGAAGCTCGCCACAGGCAGGTCACTACAGGCAGCTCGCCACAAGCAGCTCTCCCTCATGTAGCCTGTAACCTTAGAACAACTAGGTGACACCCAGGACCACTTTGGCAACAACTTGCCTTTGCTAAGTTGATAATGTCCCATTAGGCGTAGCCTGGCACAAGCGCGGCTTGGCACGGGTGTGACCTGGCACAAGCGCGGCCTGACACCGGCGCGGCCTGGCGTAGGCGTGACCTGGTGGCCTGAACCTGGCGCAACCTGGCTTTGGCATGAGTTGGCAGCCTGGCCCTGACGTGAGCTGGCGGCCTGGCACAGGCGCGACCTGGTGGCCTGGCCCTGGCGCGACCTGGCCTTGGCACGAGCTGGCAGCCTAGCCCTAGCGCGACCTCGCGACCTGGCGGCCTGGCCCACGTGCCAACCTAACAATCCCAAGGAGCTCACCACCGTACCCCGCATTTTATGGGATTGTGACTTGTAACGTCTATATTAGCTCACCCACTCCCCGACTTAGGCGGAAATGGGTAACCTTACCAGTTGGTGGCTTTATCCCCACCTAACACGAAAGCAGGTCCCGTCACAGTGGGAATCCAGGAATTGTTCCACCAAACCCGTGTGGACTCCAGTATATAAAGACCCTACCCCCAGGGGCAAAAGTATGCTAAAAGAGGGGTAATCCCTATTCTCTAGCTCTCTCATTCTCTTATATCATTTTCAGCTCGCTACTAAGTGCTACCCTATAGTGTAGCCCATTAAATAAATAAATACATAAATAAATAAAACCTTTCGAGCTCATCAAGTGCAAAACTGACTAGGGTGGGCTTATTTTGCACAAAGAATCAATAATAAAAGACAAATTCCTGCATTGGATTCATAATGACACTTCTACTTAATATTTCCATGTATACACCACCCTTGGTGAATCTTGATAAATATTATCTCATTGGTAAGGGTGTTCGTGGTCCGACCCAATCTGGTTCAACCGTCTGGTCCGACCCGATTTTCAAAACAATGACAAATATAATTCACATGTCAAATTGAAACAAGTACCAGCTATTATTATATAAATTACAAATTAAAGAATTAAAACGAACAACAAACAACAAGAGTGTAGGAAATCATATAGAAACATGAATCGATGAGACATAGAGGAAAAGGTGAGATTCTAGGGTTTGAGAGTTTGAGTGTTAGAGAGAAGTTAATCATTTTTTTTTTTAATTTTCGCTGCAGATGTTGTTTGATTAAGGTGTTTGGTGATCAGGTTTCCAGTCATATTAGATTTATTAATAAGATTTATGGTCTAGACTGATTTTTAAAATTCAAAAACCAGACTGAGACCATAAAATCAAAATTTAAAAATTTTCTAGACTAATCTAAACCAGGCCCTTTTTAAGATCAACAAAACGCATCGAGATTTCTTACTTTTTTTATCCACTCTCTACCCGCCTGAATTGCAACTACACATCTCTATTATGAATTATGAGATGTGTGGTTGGTAGAGAATGGTTAAAAAAAGTGAGTAAAAAATCTGGGTTCCAACAAAATAAAACCATCAATTTCAGTTTGGTTCAGTTCGATTTAAGGGTTTGGACCGTATAATGAAGACCCTACTCATTGGTTATCACTTTGATACCGATTGATCGGTCTTCCCGCCTTCCCGGTATCATAAATCTGGACCCGAGGGAAAAGAATGGGACCCACTGTTAAGATCTTAAGATGACCAGATTCATGTAGCTTTTAATGGTACTTTTTCCACCGTCCAGATTCACTGTTACATTACAACTCGAAAGGACAAGGGCCGAAATTCGGAAGGTCTGGATTTAATAGTGGTGCCAACTAGATTCCAATCGGACAATAAGGAAAATGCCCATCTAAACGAGAAAACCCTAATTGAAAATCAAGTGACAAGTGCCCGCGACCGGGAGCGTTTAAAAATATTCCGTTAATGGCCCTTCTTGTCCCTACGCGCCGCACTTGACAACCATAGTTTCCTTTCATTCCACAAAATTTGAATTTCAAATTCCCCAACGGTCATTTCCTCGCCTGGTTTACTCACAACGTCTCTATCTTTCGCTCTACATAATCTCTCTCTTCCTTTCTCCTCCCTTCTCATCGAGAAGCTCTCCCGCTCCATCACCCATATCAATTTCTTCTCAATTACCAGCCCCTTCATCGGGATTTCAGTTTCTTCCCTTCATCGACGATGGATTTTCACAGCCTTACAAGGAAGGAGCTCCAAACTCTTTGCAAGAAGAATAAAATTCCGGCCAACATGACCAACGATGCCATGGCTGATGCTCTCAAGGCTCTCAAGAATGTAAGATACTTCTTTAATCCTATAAGCCAATTTACGTTTCTTTTAAGCAGAATCTTTCAAGTCACTGTCTCTTTATTGGTTTGATCTTTTCTCTCATCCTTCCGATGTTTATTTATCAGGTTGAAGGAATTGAAGATGTTATAGTACCGACTACTGTGTCTGAAAATCCACAATCGGCGGCAGAATCGCCACAAAAGACAGAGAATAGATCTCCGGATCTCCCTAAAACCTGCCGCAGAACTTCGACTCGCCGGAAACCCGTTAAAGATCTGGACGTTCTGATCGAGAATGAACCCCCGAGTTCTCTGCTTGGTACTCGCACTCTCCGGAGTACAAGAAGAAGAACCGTTCAAGAAAAGGAACAAGAGAAAGAAAACCCCAACATTTTAACCGAAAAACCAGCTGAAGATAACGTATCGGCAATACTACAAACACCCATTCCCCAAAATTCACGAAGAAGAACGACAGTCGTCGCTTCTCGCCAAAGGGTTAATACCCATATAAAAGAAGATAAAGGAGGAAAAGATGAGAAACAGGAGGAGAATCCTCCTTCTCGTGTTTACAATACGAGGCGATCTACAAGGTTGTCTGGGAAGAAGCTACTCGAATCGACTCAGAAGAAGGGAAGAGGGAAAAGAGAAGCCATTAAGATTTCCGCATTGTCGGAAGAAGAATCCCAAGAATCGGAGAAGAAAGAAATAGACGCATCTGAGAAATCTGATGCTTCTGAAATCGTCTTGCCCGGACGGTCACCCAAATCGATGTGCAATGCAAATGACGATGTCCAGGAAGACAGAGGTATGCTACTTTTTTTCATTCTTTTTGGGTATGTTAAAATCCAAAGTCCTCATCCTATTATTCAGAACGTGAATTTTGTTTGTTCACGTATGCAGGGTCTATTGATGATGTTGTTCTTGTTGCTACTGAATCTGTGCTTTTGGATGGGGTTTCGTTTAGTGAGTTTCCGGCAATCAAGGAACTTGATGTGTTGCCAGAAGCCAACAACCATGACATTTGTGAAAAAGACACGTATGCCGCTCAATCTGAGGATGCTGCTGCAAGTGATGAGTCTATTGTTGAAGTTTCCAGTGGAATCAAAGAGCAAGATGAATGCAATGCGGATGATTGCTGCCTTGAGGTTGTGCAAGACAGGAAGTTTGAACAAGTTCTGGAGAGCAATGGTTCTAATGTAGATGCGGTGGAAGACCACCAAAGCACGACCTGCGATTCGGGAAGTGAAGTTACTTCTCAAGATGATCCGGAAGTGTTCGATGAAATTATGTCTGAAGTTGCAATTGTAGAGTGCCAAAGTAATTTAGAGTATGAATATAGTGCAGAAGCAGAAGCGGATGGTAAAAACCCAAATATGACGGAGGTTCCAGCTCTTCTTGATGGCCAAGTATCCTGTCAATTACCTCTGGAATGCCGGAAAACTGGTTATGTTTCACAGGAGGAGCTAGGGTCTTTGTATTCTTGTCCTGCTAAGAGTCCAAAGGCCTTGGGCACCAAAGAATGCAATCAAAGCGATGATCAACCAATTCCAGAGCAGGAGAATGGAATTGATCAGTTGTCTGCAGAGGTTCCAATCAACATGCAATTTGAAATGGAATACTCTGTCCCTGATCAATTGCAGAAATGTGGTCCTGTTATTGAGCAAGAAAACGTCAAAGAAGAATTCTGTGGTGAAGTTTCAGTTGAAGAAAGTATAATGGAAATTAATTCTATCACAGGGCAATCTGAGACAAGCGATGGAATTCTGGAGTCGGGTTCTGGCGCTGATTCATTGCCACTTGATGGTCCAGATGATGTGGTATTGGAGGTTGAGAGAACTGTCATTTTGGTGGAAAAGAAAGCTGTCATCGATCAGTTTGATGGTGCTGACCATGAAAATCTGAAGGCAGAGAGTCCAATTGCTGAAGGTCTCTCGAGTTTGGAGCAGACTCCAATGTCCCATGAAGACATTTCAACCACAGGAAGCAGTATCCTTGAGGCTACTGTGACCAAGGTTCCAATCAGCTTTGCAGCACCTGATTCGGGTTCCAATCATCATCTCCCACTTCAAATTGAAGTGACACCGAAGAAGTCATCCAACATGAAGCCAAGAACGCCACTTCAAAGGACAATCAAAGTCTTGGAGGATGATGAAGAGAACATTGACAACAGTGCCAGAAAACTGGGTGTTGGCAGTGGAATTAGAAATGCCAAGCTGTTAACAGTTGTTGCAGAAGAGAAGGAGAACAAGAACAAAGGTGAGGAAATTGCACAAAAGGCACTGAAGGAAATCAGTCTAAGGCAACTGAGGAAGATGTTCAAAGAGAAGCTGCAGATTGAAGGGCCAAAAAACAACGACAATAACAAGGTGAGAAGATATTTCTTCTTTGAGGATTTGCTAATATTTTTAGGTACAGGATTACTGACAGTAGGGTGGCTCACATTGCTTTTTGGTGACTGCAGGAGCAGCAATTGGGAAGGACAAGAACAGCTCTGCAAGATCTGACAGGGAACCAGTTGGCTTCGGAAGGAAAAGAAAACTGAGATCACTTATGGGCTTGAGTTTGGTGTGGTTACAAGTTTTGGTTACTTGCAGTATGGTACTTGCAGTGATGGGGTTGAAACCTTGGTTTGCCCCACATATACCTTTTTCTTTTCAGTTTTCTTGGGTCGGTATGGTGCAAGCAGGGCCTGGCTTGGCAAATAAGATCAAGAGGAGTGTCAGTTGATGATTCTATATTCAAAAAGATTATACCAATAAATTGGATGTTCTTTGATATTTCACTAAATTGCTTCCCTGCTGAATTCTTAGGCGCTATTTAAATTCTTCAAAAGCTGTGATATTTAGAAGATGCTGAAAGCTTGCCACTCTATGTGTTTGAGTTCATGCTGCCACATAGGTGCCCCATCAGCAAAGGCATCATTATGCACATGCGCAAGTATCGATGTTTGCAAATAAGGGTGTCAATGGACCGGTTTTGGATTGGACCCCATCCTGTCCAAAATCAATTTAGATGGATTGGATGGACCAACAAGATATATTGGATTTGACTAATCCGGTCCAACATATTTATTAGATTGGATTGGACCTGGCCCATCCGTAACAAATTTATATTGGATAGGGTTGGATTTAAGCCAATATCTGGTTCATTGATATAAGATAAGAATATATGTGTTAATGAACGAAGTTTGGGTTGAAACCAATCTAAGTCAAAATAAATTTGAACAGATTAGATGGTCCAGACATTGAATTAGACCAGTCCAAATTGATCCAAAACATTCATTGGATTGGATTGGACCTGGTCCATTTATAATGGACTCACATTGGACTGGTTCGGATTGGACCAAATCCAGTCCAATTGACACCCCTGTTTGCAAAATATTGATTTCCGTGTGCCTCTCCCGTTTCAGAAAGCTTCATTTTGGAGCTTCCCCTAACGACATTTATTTGGCACCTTTGCTGATGTGGTGCCTAATGGCTCCTATGTATCATCAATGCCCTCATTAAAAGTGTTACACCTTTTATTGTGACTGAACTAGTTGGGCACTGGTGGTGGATGGGAACTGGATGTGTAGAATATAAGTGGAGTGACAAAGGTGTTGGGAACTTAGCTCACCTTTATGCCACTCCGGACTGCTACCCACTACTTGTTCCCATTTCCCACATCTATACCCACCGAACACTGCCTCCCTCCGTGTATTGGGAACATCTCCCTATCAATGAAAAGGGAGATATTCCCAATGTGCAACTGTTGTGTCCCATGGGTTGAGATGTGGGAACAGATAGTGGGTAGCAGATCTGAGCCCCCTTTATGCAACATGTTTATCTCACAAGGATTGTTTCTGTGCTGCAATGTTACAATGCCTACCTTCTCTTTTTTACCTTGGGATTCAAGACAGAGTGTGATGTTGCTACAGGTTATTGTGAAATATCCTTTAGTTTATTCCTAATTGCTAGAGTGTCCAGACAAAGGCCTAAAATTAAGAGAGCTGCAATAGCCTGCTAAGACATCACAGAAGAAACTGGCTGGGACAAGGAAATAAAATTAGAGCTGTCTTTTATATATAAATCACTAGATGGTCAAGAAATTCTTTATTTCTTTATTCTGTTTTATGACTTCTCTTTAACCAAGTCTGCTAAAATCATCCAAATACATGCATCTTGAAGCAGTGAATGCAGGAGTACTCTGACCTAAGATGAGAGCTGTCATTAGATAACTCACAACTCAACTCGTTTTTTATAAAAAAATAATTACTAGAAAATTGCAAAATAAAATCTATACAGCCACATAAAACGCCTAATCCATCTAAGTGAACACACTCAATCTTCATAGAGTGGCAAAATCTCTTCCATGTTTGTTGTGTTTATTATCTATGAGAAGAACATTCCATATTTTATGCTTTGTTTCTGATCTTAGCATTTGTGGGCCAGAATTCTTGCTTTTCTGAATTTTAGAAAGGATCCCCCCCCCCAATGAAATTAGAAGAAATACATGCCCCTGCATGCAAACCAATTTCAACCAAAATGAAGTAAAGCACTCTTCAAAGCCCATTACTTCTCTATTTCAATCTAGATTTGTTCTTTTTAATCCACAAATTCTTCAGCCTTCTTTCTCATCCCCTTGATTTTTTTTTAGGAGGAGGGATCTTGTTCTTGGACATTCATTGATGGTGGAAAGGTCTCTATATTACTTTAAATGCTATGTGGATTATTTAGTAAAAAGATGAAAGGGAATTGAAGAAACACTTAAACATACTATTGATGATTAGTTGGAGGAAAAGCCGATGAAGACAGACTTAACATGGAATATTAAGAGTGTCAAGATGTTCCAATAGAGCTATAAAAATTTCATCAAGCCAAATCTGGTCTTACTGAAATTGCTACTGAACAACTAAACTATTAAATACGTATTCAAGTTATCATGTCAATCAATGATCAAGTAAGACATGCTTATGGTTCTTAGATTTCAAACGACTACCAGTTTATAGTTGTCACTCAGACCAAATGTTAAGTCTCGTAGTTGAGATAGAAAAATAAATACGGCTTCTTATGTGGTTGGTACATAACAATACGACCAAAAGTAATGTTCTATAAGGCTAACAATGTTATATGGAACAGAGTTTTGGACAATAAAGAAATATGCTCAGAAGAGTATGTAGCTTGGATAAATATGATAAGATGGATTAGTGCCAAGATTATGAATGTCTGAACCAGTTAAGAACACATTTGGGAAGACATAGGAGTTATCCGATTAGTAACAAAATGAAGAAAGACAACTAAAGATGTCTCAGCATTGCACTAGTGAGAAAGACCGACTTGGTGCAAATAGAAGGCTTTAAAAAAGCTAGGGCAAGACAATAGCAGCATGAGTCAAGGTAGTTAGAAATGGCCTATAAATGTCCAATCTGATTTAGGACATGACTTCTTGATAGAGTACAATGGTCATATAAAGATGGTACATCTGACCCAAATTTTTACGGACGGGCATTGATGTATAGAATAGGTGTTGATGAATCAATTTTTTTGTGCCAAGTACCTGTCATTTGGTCTGAGCTGGGGGAGATTAGGTGTCAAGTTAACTGGGTTGAGCCGGACAGGTTAGGTGCCGAACTGACTAGGCCGAGCTAGGCAGGTTAGGTGACAAGCTGACTGGGCCGAGCTAGGCAGGTTAAGTGCCAAGCTGCCTATTAGGTGCCGAGTTGACCAGAGTACCGAGCTGACCAGAATGTCGAGCTGTCTATTAGGTGACGAGCTTCTCAGAGGGCCGAACTGCCTGGTAGTGAGCTGGATTGATTGCTGAGTTTCGTCGTTCTTTAGAGACCTGCAAGGAATCAATGTCAGAGGACCCGAGGTGGCTAACCCGGCGAAGTCACTCTGATGCTTAAGTCAGTACTCTCATAGTAGACTATGAGCTAAAAATCACAAAGTATGAAAGCTAGAATATATTTACTTGCCCCCCCAATGCCATTGGGGTTGGTGCCTTTATATATGCATTATTTGGATCCGAAGGTTCCAAACGCAACCTAAGTGTTTTAAAAAACCAATGTTATTTCACCTTATTAACATTTAAATATATTAAAAGGTCCCATTACCTAATAAATATCGTACCAATGACCTTGAAAATCAATATGTATCGTATGTTTCTATGATTTGAACCTTGACAGTGATTTTAGGTAAATTCTGGTTTTATGTAATTTGTTTTAATTATGATGTGAAAGATACTAGTTGCTTCTAATCATTTGGTTTCCAACACTCATACAAGCTCAACTGGGTCATTTCATAGGATATCTATATATATATATATATAAACAGGGTTTTAGAACGTGAATGGAACTCAATAAAAACTTGTGAATAGCCTCACACTTCATTAGGGGTGTTCACTATATAATTTAGACCACAAAATTGAGGGRTGGCTCAGTTGGTATGTTAACTCCTTGGCTCCCAATATAAATGTGGATTCAATTCTTACATCCACGACTTGGGGGGTATGGTATCTATCACCAAATACCAAAAAAGAAAATGACTGCCAAACCAGATCAAACCAAATTGAAATTGGCAATTTGGTCTGGACCAGATTTAAGAATGCTTTGATTTGGTTTGGAAAATTTTTAAATTTCGATTTACAATTTAAGTCTATTTTTTAGAATGGCTTAAACCATATTAAACATTGGACCAAGTTATAATAAAACAGTTCAATTAATTTACTTGTTTGGTATGAAATTTTCTCCAAGCCAAATTGGATTGGACCATGAGACCATATACTTGACAATAAGGGTTGTATTTGGTTGCATGAATATCTCGTGAACAGGACTGTTTTGATCCCGTCCATGAGACATAAGAGTTATTTGGCTCACTATGGACAGTCTCCATCCATAATATATTGTGGGTAGGGACCATCCCTTTCCCAATACATTGTCCACAGGTAAAACTTGTGAATGGAGACCAGCCACCCCATCCATGATGGGACTTTTTTCTTTTTTTTGTAAACATCCATGATGGGACTATAGTCCCATTTTTCATAGTTATATTTTTAGTTTATTTTCCTTCTAAATTTATTTTATATGTATATTATTTTATTGTGGTAATTGTTTTAACATTGAACAATTTCCATTATTTTTTGTTAATGAAAAATATTTGAAGATAAAAAGTAATTGCTTTTAAATTATTTTTATTACCTTTTGTATTAATAGAAATGGTTTTTTATTATTATATAAATTCATATTCTATACATTTTTATTCTCTAATGTTTGGCATTTATTTGGCATATTCAATAATTACATATTGGTGTTTTATTTTATTCATTATTATTTTGTATTTTTTTAATTTATTATGGGCTTAAAATATAAGAGATTTTCACTTATGATCAATTGCATAGATAATCTCACAAGTTTTACCCAAAAGAAAAAAGTTGTATGTGAGATATATAAAATCAACATGGATGATCTGGTCTGTYCGTAATCCASAACAATTACAATACATCAGACATCACTATTGTGCACCTACCAATTTTTCATCTACATTATAGAACACCCCAACATGAGTAAAAATTGAATGAGAGTATGGAATACTATCTCCTTTGCACTCTTTTGTAATAGATTTGGTAGTGCTATGCCAAGTTACAAACTCAAGATACCCATGAAGCCTAAAAAATAAGAGTGAAACGAATTTGGATTAAGTCCTCACAAAACTGTCCTAATGCCCTCTTCACGAGACCGGGTCTACTCCTCACACCTGGCACCTCACACGCACAACTTATCATGCATTGGGAGCATCTCCCGTATTTATTAATTATTATTCACGTGAGATGTTCTCAATGCATGGTGGATGTGCCTCTGAGGCACCCATTTGTGAGGAGCAGATCCCATCACCCTCTTCACAGCCTTTTGCAACCATACATTGGAACATACTTGTACTTTTTTAATCGTGAGAAGATATTCTCAATACATGGCTACAAAGGGGTTGTGAGTACAGCATGAAGACAGTGCTCACATCATTTGCACCAGCCCCTTGCAGCCTTGCATTGGAAATATCTCTCTATGAAATCAGATTTGATCCTTACAAGACCATGTTCACATCATTCACACAGCCCCTTCATAGGGAATATTTTTCTATGAAATTAGATTTGATCCTCACAAGACGGTGCTGACATAATCGGCACACTCCCTTACAGCCTTGCATGGGAATATCTCTCTATAAAAAACATTCAAGTATGGAGATATTCCCAATGCACGGCTGTAAAAGTCTGTCCGAACGGTATAATTTATAAACACGGTGTTGTGAGCCACTAAAGCCGATCTCTATGATAGGAACAGCAAGGGCTATGTTAATGCTGCCTTGTGTAAGGCCCAGGCCTGAGCAGACGACTCAGGTCGGTCTCGGTCTATGGGGAAGCGGAGCCATAACTTATAAGCGCCTATCGAGTACCGACGTGCTTTTGCAAGCGCAAGGTGAGGAGAGAGAGCGATACGACCCGTCTCGTCTCAATTAGAAGAATCCAAGGCGACACGACACGCACGCCAGGAGCCAGCGAGTCCAAAACCATCCGTCAAAAGAGGAAATAATGAATGAACCGAAATTTCTGAGCGAGGAAAATCAAGTAGAACTACGAATTTTCCCTTTTTATTCCACCCTCCCTTCCGGTCGTTGTGGGAGGGATTTCAAAATCCAATCCCTTCGAAGGGCTCTGAAGAATGCAACAGTGCCTCTGTCAGTCAGACCCAGATAGATGACTTCTCCTTGATTAGTAATTCCTCACTCACAGGTATGGATTTCTAGGGTTTTGTTTGTTCGTTTCCCCAAACCGATCCAAATAGATGGAACCCTGAAGTATTAACCCATGTTCTTGTCTGTAGCTTGAGAGATCTTCGACTAGCTGGTATTTTGTGGGTGTCATGATTGAAGGGGAATTAGGGTTTTGTACAGTGTTTTTTACCCCAGCTTGCTTCACAATTTTGGGGTTTATTTGGTGTATTTTTACCTCTTTCGTGTTGGCGTTTTTTTTTTTTTTTAAATCATTAGCTTTCGTGTGCTTGATTTTTGAAAAACCTTCAAAAAGTTACGATCGATTGAAAGCATGGAGTTCTGGAATTAAGAAAGAAATAAGAGATTAGGGGAATTTTGGGTTATTGGATTGGTTTGGGGATGGCCGATGCGGGAAATGAAGACCAAAACAGGAGAATGGATTTGAATTTGTATCTGGGTCTTCCTCGTTCACCACGTCGTCGAGAATTGGATCTTGGGTCTGATCTTGCTCTAGGCTCGCTACCCGTGTCAGGCGAGGCAGAAGTTCGTGGATCAACCGAGATGTCTGGTTATGCAGGGCTCTCAGATTCGCATGCGCCCTATTCCCCATCACATGCTTCACACTCCCCGAGTCCGCAGGCTGTTGAACCTCTTGACCGAAATGAAAACTCATCTTTCACCTATCCTGATTACTCTCCTCCGTCGCCGTCTTTTCCGTCTGCTTCTCAAGCGATGCAACCTGGGGTTGAATCTCTAGTTGGAGTAAGCAGGTCCCATCCCGAGTATAGCCCGTACTCGCCATCCTATGATCCTGTTATTCCAACAGCAGAAGCTCGCCTGGAACCTGCAGGACAGGGCGTAAATGATCCGATAGACCATGCTCCTTATTCTCCATCGTACGCTCCAGTGTCCGCATCTGAGCATGAAGACACTGAAACTGTGGTCCATGAGGGTGGAAATCATGTGGAGTATGTTCCATATTCACCCTCTTACGTGCCTGCATCGTTGTCGCCCCCAGGTCCTTCAAGTGAACCATTGATCCAGGAAGAAAATCCTCATGTCCCCTATATCCCAGTTAGTCCATCTGACCAGACTCACCATGGCCAGTCTAGTGGGTTGGTACCTGAAGTAACAGGGTTTGGTGCAGAACAGGTAACTGCACAGGGTAGAGATACTCCAGTTGGGGATGGTTCTTTGCAGCGAGAGCTTCTTCAATATCCAGAGTTTCGTATCCGGAGATTGATTGAGTTGAGCCGCAGATGGGGGGTTAGGAGGTTCAGATCCACAGTTCCTTACAATCTCAGTCCTAACCTAGATGCAATTTCCTCAGAGAGCCATGCTTTTCGCACTATGGCAACAACTGAGGAATCTAATGAAGCAAATGGTGAGAATGAGAAAACAAGTTTGGAAGGCAGTGCTGCTCAGGATATCAAAGACGGAACGAAGGAACAAAGTAGTGGAACCACGAGTTTTGATTGCAATATCTGTTTGGATGTGGCTAAGGAGCCAGTGGTTACTTCTTGTGGTCATTTATTTTGTTGGCCTTGTTTGTATCAGTGGTTGTATCTTCACTGTGACCATAAGGAGTGCCCTGTATGTAAAGGGGAGGTGATTGAATCAAAAATAATTCCTATTTATGGGCGAGGGAACTCTGAGATGGGGGTTGAACAGAAGGAGCAGGAAGTGGGGAATTCAAATTTGAAGATCCCTCCTAGGCCCCGTGGACACCGTTTTGAGAGTTTAAGGCAACAGATAAGAAGACCACTATCCCGAAGACTGGAAGAAATTGGCTCATGGAGGCTTATTTTTGGTGAAGAAACACACAGTGGAAATAGAGAAGGGCAAGAGGAGCCAAGCACACAGAGGATTGTTGATGGGGTTAGACGTAGCCGTAGAATTGCCAGGTTTATGGAAACTCAGCGGTTTCATATGGGGGATGGTTTGGAAAGTAGATTCAACTTGAGGGGAAATGAAACATCTAGAAATGCTATTGAGATGGCTTTAAACTACACACAAAGTGGTAACTTGCCTCCTGAAGGGCTTCATGGGAGTGAATCAAGAAGTACACCGCCTGCTATTGCACGACATGGAATTAGCTTCTGGCCTGGGCATCCTTTTTACAGTGTTCCTATTTCTGAGAGATTGGCTGCTCTAGCTGCTGATGTTGCAGGGAGGATACAAGACAGTAGTAACCATTCTGGTGCCTCAGCATCTGTGGATCCACAGGATTCCAATGCTAATGTTCAAAGCACCAGAGAAGCAACAGTTGCTGCAGATCAAGTTTCTGCTTCAAGCACAATGGCTGTGATACAGGGTGATGCTGGGGTTCCTGTTGACGCCCCGTCAGAGCCGAACAGTGGGAGTTCTTCTCGTAGCTTCAGACGAAGAAGGAGAAATAGTGTGTCTGGATCTCTAGATGTAGATGGAGGTGTTCATCATGTGCGTAAAAGGAGAAGACTAAACTAAATTTGAATTTTATTACAGAATAACAATATCCAAATAAAATTCTTAGCTCTTTTGTTTGTGATATGGGTACATGAGTTGTCTTCTAGAGGATGTACCATAAATTAGTTTCAAATGATACTGTATGATGTTGTTGATCAATGTAATTGCATTTCATTTTCATCTTGGTTATTCTTATTGTCCTGTACTGTGGGCATAGTTCATTCTACATTATACACTGATAATCTAATAAAAAAGTTTTACCAAGGTAGATGGGAAAATGATTGATGCCAGGTAATGGTAAAAGCTCATGGCACTGCAAGAACACATTTAAGGAGTTAAGGGTGTAAACAAGATAGATGGAAGTTGATTATGCTTGGATGTACAGATCAGCAACCATTTTTTATGATGCACCATCCAAACAGGGGGTAAATAGAGGCCACTTATCTTGGGAAGGGTTGGGAACTGAAATCTAATTTTGAAATTTGGGTTTGGTGGCAGTAATCATCCAAAGTTGGGACTGCAAGACTGTTTGTATACACAAATTATTCTTTATTTTAATCAATAAAGCCATCAGTTACTCTAACTATAAGTGATAGATGTTTTTTCTTTTTTGACTTTTTAATAAAAATTTTATTAAAAAGATCACAAAGGATACATATTACAAGATCCCACAAAGAGGCGTGAGGTGCCACCTCTAAACTGTATCAACAAGCTTACAATTGAGCCCGAAAAATCTGATTCCTATATACCCCGTGTTTAGCTAAAGAATCTGCAAATCCATTTGTCAATCCAACTAAAAGTGATAGATGTTAAGTGATAAATGTTTGAGCATGGTGGTTTGTAGAAGATAACGGAGAAAGCAACATCAGGAAGCTCCAGCTCTGAGGACCCTGCCTCAGCTTTGATGCCTCAGATTTGAGAATCTAGTTTTATTGCATTTTCTTTTCTTTGTGCTGCTGATTTTTTTCCCATTGAAATATTGAATAGGGAATGACTAATGGAATCAAAGATAGAGGGATGGCAGAGTCTCTGCTATGTTTGAAAAAATCAACAGATTAGCCAGTTGTAAGATCACATCCTCCACTTCAATCGACATTAATATCTTTTTGTTTGATAATTAAAACAACAGATCTTATTTTTTAAAATCAGTTTTCTTTTCCTGGATATGATGGTCAACGATTGAGTATATTATTAAAATTTCAACTAAATACTTCTGTTTTTCTTTGCTCCTACTTATTGAAATATTGTAGTAGTGAAAAATGAGGTCCCTTCATACCCTAATTTTCACTGGACAGACTTGGAAAATTGTTTCTTCAATTTTTTGCACCTTACTTCAATATTCTTTGCCTTTATTGTATTTCCTCTAAAGAATTCCATGAGCAGTGAAGGCCAAGATGTTCTATGGTGTTGCTGTTGTGGCAATGATTATCCATACAGTTATGAAGCTTCCAATCCAGAAATGGCTCCAAAGCTTTCCATTTTGTTAAAAAGCTAATTGTTTAAATAACTGAACATTTATTCCATTTACTCTTTTGTGTACCAAGTATTTTCTTAATATAACTAATAAGATTATGAGACATCTTTTTCCATTGGGACCATTGTTTGTTATGATGGTAAAATCTCAGGCTGACAAGTGGATAACACCACAGGTTTGAGTCTAGAAGTTGTTACTTCATACTAAAAATGCTAAGGTTAGGTCCATGTCCGTTCTATCCCTCCCAAGACCCCAGATATCCAGGACCAGCATTGGGTAATAGCCTTCTTCAGACATCCTTTGCCATCTTACTGGATATACAATTGATAGTAATTCTGATAGCTTTACATTGGCTAGATTTTTTTTTGATATTCGTGATTCAATGTTTTTGTTTTGTTTTACGTTATATAATTTCTTGCCTTAAATTTATTTATTTATTTCTCTCCTATTTGTTTCCAAATGAAAATTCAAAAAGCCTTATTTGGAATCATTACAAATCCAAGGTGAAAGGAAAATGATTAAATACTATAAAGCTAGGCTATTTAAATCCTTGATGAAATTTTAATTTCCAATGAATATGTAGAGGATAGAAGGAAACGTGTTGAAAAGATATGAACTGTAATCTAGAAAAGGTTCACGACAAGATAGGCTTACAAATTTCTTGACCTTATTAGCATATAAGAATGCTATCCAATTCACCTGTGCTAAGACACTGTTAGAACTAAAGCTAATTTTTTTTTTTTTTCCTGTGGTAGCTTTTATATTAATGTGTTTGTAGTCCTTGTTTAATTTACTTCTAACCAAAATAATAAATGTAGCATAAAAAGATAATTTTGCCTTTCACCATTTATAGAATTTAGGTACCTTGGAAAGCAAGGTACCTATCTAAAGGTGGTAAGGTAACTCTCATTAAAAGTGTTCTGCTAAGCCTTCCTGCATATTACATGTCCTGTTTCCAGTTCCTTCAAAGATTGTTGAGAGACGAGAGAAGAAGATGAAAGATTGTTAAGCCTGTGGTGGAATGGAAATCACTAGCAAGTCAGGGATTGAAACTGAACTTTGATGGGAGCTCTTTAGGCAATCCAAGCCTGATACAAATTGGGGAGTCATTAGGGATGAAGCGGTGCTATCAAGTCGATGTATTCAGGTCTCATTTGAGTTGGAGGTTTTGTTAAAGCTTAAGTAATGGCGCATTGCTACAAGGGGTGAGGATAGCTAAGAAACTTGGGTTTCAATAAGTGAAGCTGGAGGGAGATTCTAAATTAGTCATTTCATGGCTAAATAGCAACATTCCAGGAGCTTGGATTTATAGGCAAACAATGATGGAAATTGATACACTAGCCAAGGAAGTGGGAGCTACATTTAGATGGATTGGGAGGACGACAAATGTAATGGTAGATTTTTTGGCCAAGCAAGTGTTTCACAGGGAACAGCTGTTTCGGGATGAATTGTAATTGGGTTGAAACTGGAAAACCAGAATGGGTGGCTGGGTTAACATTCCAGCTCTGTTATTCTTTCTCACGTTTTAATTTAATGAAATTTTCTGTTAATAAAAAAAAAGATGTGGCCCTTTCTTGATGTCCTAAAAGCCATCTGCTCACTTTTGAGTATAGATTTCAGGTGTTCCTTCTCTGTAACTAGTGGTAATGGTTGTTATTGTCTGTAGATCTATACCCTAAACCTTATCCTCCTATGACTTTTCTTACAAAATTATGGTAGGTGGTTTATAAGAAGGGCAAGTACCTTCAACTCAAACTCATTTCAAAGTGGGAATTCTTGGATGCTTTCCTCTCTATGTTTTTGAGTGGCCTGTATTGATTTTTTATTCCTACACTGTTCAGAGGTTGAAAAAGTTACAATTGCTTATTCCATCGGTCTTGAAGTTCCTTTTAATCTGCATGACATTCTTTCACTCCACGAGATCTTGGGATTTGTTCCTTTCGGCCATGCTGACAAATTATTATGGATGTGCGCATGTCTTATGCTACTTTGTGGAGCATTCGGAAGAAGGAAATTGATTTTTTTTTTTATAACATGTTTTGAATGAGAATATTGTAGGTTTGAATTTTAGGTGTGTCCAGGAGTTGGATCTATCTGTCACTAACATGTTAGTGTCCGACACCAATATGTCCAAGTTTTTAGTGTCAATATGGGTTCGTTGGGGTAAATAGAAGGATATTGGTAACAAAATTGATATGTTATTTTAATGGTATCTCTGATGATTTAATCTTTTAAGGACTGGTTCTTTGCTGGAACAGAGTCTTGAGCTATTGTTGTTTGTGCCAAAGGTCTAAAGAATTTGAGTCCATGAACTCCTTGTTGTCTCGGTTCTTGAAAGTTTTGTGGAGATCTTGCCATGTTGGGCCTACTTTTCAATCCTTCATAAAATTGTCTCAATATCAGTAACAAGTTGAATAACAAGTGCAAAATGCATGTAAGAGGAGAGAGAGAGGATAAAGTGTGTGTGTGGGGGGGGGGGGGATGAATTAGATTTTTCATGTGGTGTTCTGGACGTGAAGCCATTGGCATTATATAGTAACAATAGTGATACAAAGGGTATTTTAAAGTGGTGGTGGGTTGGTTGAAAAATCCTGAAGATGCTATATGGCGCTATAAGAATGAAATGAAAAAATTCAGTTGATTGATAAGGAATATGTTGGTCACGGTACAGTGGGTGGGGAGATCAACAAATACTTTGTCAGATGTGTTAGCCAAGCAAGGGGTAAATAGGGAAGAATTGTTTTGGACTCAGCTGTGATTCCTGTATTTCTTTCCTAGTTTACTTGTAAGATTCAAGGAGGGGCTGCAGCTTGCACCTCTCCCTGGGATGTTGTATGAATTCACAACTCTAAATCAGTTTCTGAATTAATAAATTTATTATTATTCATAAAAAAAAATTGAGACATGGCAGTTCAAGGGGTAGAGCAGGGTAGGCAAATTGATGTGGGATGTATGTCTTTGGGCAATCTGAAGGGAGAGAAACAGTCAAGAGAGCATGTGCAGGAAGTTGTGCAAGAGATTGTTGATGTCGTGCAAAGATTGTTGAGGTCGTGTCCTATGATTGGCTGTACATGAAGTCCGAACTCCAAAAAGACAACAATTACAAAGGCATTGCATTAGTACCGTACCAAAAAGCTGCCACTGTTTTGGCCAATGAATCAGCCATTTCATTCAGTTCGAATCCATCTGAAAGGGCAAGAGAAGGGAGCTGAGAGATCTTGGATTTTATTCAGCAGATAGGCCAATCTCCAAGGACCAACCTTCGGATTGGAGGCCCACCCAATTTCTAGAGTCACCCTCCACTACCGTAGGGGTGGAAAGAAATCTTGCAGATTTCTAAGGGCAATGTCTGAAAAACAACTGAAAACAATTCTTACAGATCCCCTTGAAAAATCTCTAAACTGCTTGCTGATTAGTGTTTAATAGTTGATAAGATTCAAGTGTCAGTTCGGTGAGCAACTGAGGTTTCTCAATAATAATAGATGAAGGAACATGCTTGCAGTTGACACCACTTACATGGGTGAGGTAGATGCTGACAACGGTGGTGGTGGTGATGATGGTAGTTGAATGCGCTTTGCTACTTATTTAATTTTAATTATTGTCATGGAATTCGTTAGTTCTCAATCCAAATTTCAGAAATGGCTTGGCCTGTATTATGGATATTGCAGTTGACTAAAACTGGCAGTTTTCTTCGAACTGAATAAGATTTGAGACG